TTGGCTAAGCCAGAGGTTTGTGTGGGTCTGTGGGTGGTTCCATGTGTCCAATCTGCATGAGAGGAACAGTGGCAATGGACTAAAGAGGGAAGGGTTAGAGGCATTTGGTAGGGGCTGCGTGTGCATGCGTACCTGAGATTGGTAGAAGAGAATGTCCTTATGATGGTGCTATGCACATGTGCAAGAGTTAGAGTCACGTGGCCTTTGTGCTGAGTGGCGGAACCGGCAACATTTGTGTGGTAATAGTAGAGTGGATGGCCTTATGACAGTGTTGCGCACACGCGCAAGAGTTAGAGCCGCGTGGCCTTTGTGCTGAGTGACGAAACCGCGCAACCTTTGTGTTTAGCTACGTCGGAACCATGCCGTGTTTCGCTTGCGTGCCGTTTGCTCTTCCATGTAACGAAACCGTGCAACATTTTGTGTTACGCTGCGTCGGAACCGCGTGACGTTTCACTTACGTGCCATTTGCGCTTCCATATAATGAGGCCGAACGTCATTTCGCTGGCTCGCACAACACACTATCCTTTGTCAGTATAAAAGACGCACAGGGGTACTTTTCCTTAGTTTTACCCAAGAGTTTTACCGAGGTAAAAAGCCCTAATTTGCACTGTGCCTCTTTCTACTGTCATCTTTGAGCGAGGCTTTTTGCCGCCGAGGGTTACTTCATTTAATCTTGCTTTTTTCATGCGTTTTCTCCTTCGCCATTGTAGATTTCCTTCGTTCCCTATTCTTCTGTTGTATGCCGAGAGTTTGAGGGAATGCCTTATTGCTTCTTTTGGGCTTGATTGGCAGTGTCTGTTGAGCTTTTGCGGGGATGCTTTCAATTTTCTCAAGCCCTTTCTTGCTGCTTTCTGCTGTGACCTTTCGATTTGGTTAATAGCACCATGCGTATTCGCATTGCAAATGTTCAGGCATGGCCATGCTCGCATTTGTGCGTTGTGAGCCTTCTGGTTAGGCCTTAGTCCCAAACGGGTTCGTGCGTGTACAACACGGCTAGATGAGACTAGCCGTGAGGGGAACTCGCACTTGGCCGTGAATACCTAGGCGAGGTATCTCGCGTGCGTATGAGCTTCAGTGTGTATGCGCTAGGTTGGAACCTGCACGTGTTGGAATTGTCACGTGTACAGTATTATGCAGGCACGAACTCGCACGTGCATGTTCTTGTGCATGCATGAATTTCATGCGGGCACGATCTTTCGCGTGCCTGAGTTTGGGTGTGAATGTGGTTTCGTCGTGCTTTGCGTTCGTCTATATTTCTTGACCGTGTCCGAGCTTGTGCGTACACTCTTCATGAATGCCTATGTGAGGCGTTATGTTCATGTATGCGCCATAAATACTCCACTCTTTGGCCTGAGGCCTTGCACTCCCGTGCTTCAATTAGGCATATTGCCCCCATATTTTGTGTGTTCATTTGACCATGATTTGGGCTCAATGAACTATATTCTAACACTTTTTCTTTTGTGTTTACAGTCAGAATTCTTGACATGAACCAGTTGCCTTGTGAGGGGGAGTTGGGGAGCGATTCTTATACAGGGGTTCTTTTGTCAGGGGGAATACACTTGGTGTCCTCGAGCCTACCCACCAGCTAGAGTGGCCTTTGAGCATCACTTATGTGGGAGAGGATGCTCGACTTTGTGGATATCAAGGTGTTGATGGGGAGCCTCTTATTCAAGGGGACGGCGTCCTCCTTTGTCACGCCCTACACAGGGACTTTGACTCCAGTGAAAACTTGCCTATGTTGGGGAAGAGGACCTTCATTGGGCCTCTGGTGCACTTCGCTTCGAAGGAGAGCACCAATACATGCCTGGATATACTACTTGGACACTTGATGTCCTGAGTTCACATGCTAGTACCCTGAAAGAATGTGGGCTAGCCGCAGCATGTCAACGCTCAACTGGCTATTACGACTGGTGCTCACACGCCGACAAAGCTTTGCGGGAGACATGCGTCATAAAACCAACAGTTGCCACTTTGATAAAGGTCACTCTCATGGATACGTACTTTGTCGGGGGCTTGCTCCTGCTGGGGGACATGTATGAGGAGTTTGTGCCCAGCAACGAGGTCATTTTTGGCACTCTGCATATTAATGGCAAGCTAACCCCTTCTGGTCTCCACGAGTTGTTCGAGAGTTACCAACTCTTGCACTCAGAGACCAAACTCAAGTCGGGAGGGGTGCACTTCGAGGCATGGAGGGATAACTTCCATGGGGACCATCAAAACAACGGGGACGCCAGTTCTAGCACCCTGTGCGCAGATGAGGCTCAGAGAGCTGAGGCCATCAAAGCTTCCAAGTGGCCAGTTACTCCTCCTGGGAGAAGGGAGAAGGACCGTGCATACCTGGTTGCTTACTTGGTCATTTTCTTGTGTAAGTTCGCTTTGCCGGGGTTGAGGAGTAACATTATCCGGCCGGGCTGCTTCTTTGCAGCATTCAAGATGGCTGAAGGGCATGAGTATGCCTTGGCTCAGCCGGTCCTGTGCAGAATCTACCACGGGCTGGGGGGACCATTGCTCATGGCAGGGCTCCCTCAAAAAACAACAAGAGTGAGGTCCTTGTTGGAGAAGGATTTCCTGGTCGTTTCATGATGAGTTTCCCAATCCACTACGTCTTCGGTTGGCTCTCTGCACATTTTCCTGAAAGGGGAACTAACCCACGTAACCCTGGGGCGTACGAGATTAATGGAAGCCTCGAAGGGTATCCTTGCCCTCACGTGTTAAGAATTGCAAGGATGAAGGCCGTCTTTAAAGGGCAAGGTGAAGCACGCAGGCTTCTGTCCAATATTTCCTTCTTTTCTAGTGGTAGCCCTTTTCCTGTGGGCGGTCCCACTGATAGTGCCTTTATAGACGGCTTTGGCGAGGTTCTTGACGAAAAGCCCACCGAGAAAAGGTAGATCATGTATCTCCTAAGCGTGAGAGGTTGCATTTTACCGTATAGGGGTGTGGGAGACAGGAAGCTGGAAGGCTATTTCCCCCACCGGTTTGTGCGTCAACATGGCCTGGATCAGGGATGCCGCTTCACCATACTCTTTGAGAAGAGGTATGGGAAGAAAGGGTCATTGCATGACCATGAAGCTCCAAGGGTAAGTCGTGAAGCCTGGACCGACCTCAACATAAGGATCGCCTGGGAGACTTGCCTTGGCCTCAC